TCCTGCGTTCTAAAGAATATTGGAGTGTAATTCAATCTGGTTTCGAGGAACCAAAAGGAAACGAAGCACTAAATGCAGCCCAGCAAAAGGCAATCGACGAAGCAAGGATCAAAGATCTCAAAGCAAAGAATTATCTCTTTCAATCCATTGATAAGAGTATTCTGAAAACCATCATTCAAAAGGATACTGCCAAGCAATTGTGGGATTCAATGAAAATCAAATATCAAGGAAATGCTAGAGTTAAGCGAGCCCAGCTACAACGACTTCGCAGAACATTCGAAACTTTGGAGATGAAAGCAGGAGAAGGTGTTTCTGAGTATTTTGCAAGGGTTATGTCTATTGCAAATGACATGAGGAATTGCGGAGAAGATATGCCGGATGTCAAAATTGTTGAGAAAATACTTCGAAGTCTTACTGATAAATTCAATTTCGTAGTATGTTCAATTGAAGAATCCAAGGACATTGACAAATTAACAGTTGATGAATTACAAGCATCCTTGCTTGTACATGAACAAAAGGTGATTGATAAGAGGAGTGAAGAGCAGGTTCTGCAGGTGGAGAATGTATCAAAGTATGGCCAAGGAAGAGGCAGAGGGACATTCCAGAGAGGAAGAGGTTACTCTAGAGGACGGGGAAGAGGTAGATCTTTTGTGAACCGGTCGGCCATCAATTGTTTTCGATGTGGAAAGCAAGGACATTACCAATTTGAATGTCCGAGCTTAGAAAGAGAAACTGTCAATTATGCTGAATTTGACGAACAGGAAGAACTGCTATTGATGGCGTACACAAAAAAAACTGAAGGAGAAGGCATTTGGTTTCTTGACTCCGGGTGCTCAAATCATATGACAGGGAACAAAACATGGTTCGTTGAGCTTGACGAAAGTTTCAAACACACTGTCAGGTTGGGAAATAGTTCAAAAATGGCAGTTGAAGGAAGAGGCAGTGTCAGATTCGAAATTGAAGGTATCACACAAATCGTGACAAATGTTTACTATGTCCCCAACCTCACCAACAATTTGTTAAGCATAGGACAGCTACAGGAGAAGCGCTTGGTGATATTAATCAAAGAAGGAACCTGCAGAATCTATCATCAACAGAGGGGTTTGTTAATGAACACACAAATGACGACAAATCGCATGTTCATAGTTCATGCAAAGATGAAACCATTGGCTGACAAATGTTTGAAAATTGAAGATGAAGACTTGGAGGCTCTGTGGCACAAGAGGTATGGGCATTTGAATAATAAATCTATTCAAATCATGCAGCAAAAACAAATGGTGGAAGGATTACCCAAAATGAAGGAAGCTGTCAAAGTTTGCACAGTTTGCAATATAGGGAAGCAACAACGGCAGAAATTTCCAAAGAAAAGCAAATGGAGAGCATCAAACAAGCTGGAATTAATTCATGGAGATCTTTGTGGACCCATCACTCCAACTTCTCACAGTGGTAAGAAATACTTGCTGGTGCTTGTAGATGATTTTTCTCGCAAGACATGGATTTATTTTCTTGCAGATAAATCAGAAGCTTTTGAAACATTCAAAAACTTCAAAAATCTTGTTGAAAATGAAGCAAAAACAGCCATACGAGGATTCAGAACTGACCGGGGAGGAGAATTTACCTCGAATGAATTCAACAAGTTCTGTAAAGATAACGGGATCAAGCGACAACTGACAGCTGCTTACACTCCCCAGCAAAACGGAGTTGTAGAAAGAAGAAATCGAACCATCATGAACATGGTACGGTGTTTTTTATCTGAGAAAGAGATGCCAAAGAAGCTGTGGCCAGAAGCAGCTAGATGGACAGCTCATGTTTTGAATCGCAGCTATACAAAGGCAATCAAGAACATGGTTCCTGAGGAGAAGTGGTCGGGCATAAAACCAAATGTAGAATACTTCAGAGTATTTGGCTCAATTGCACATGTCCATATTCCTGAACAGAAGAGAACCAAACTTGATGATCGAAGTCTCAAATGTGTCTTACTTGGAGTTAGTAATGAATCCAAGGCATACCGTCTGTATGATCCAGTAACAGACAAGGTAATTGTGAGCAGGGATGTCATATTTGAAGAAGATGCAAAATGGGACTGGAATTTAAGCACAAAAAATGCAGAGCAGGAAGTGTTGGTTTGGGGAGACGATGATAATATTGTTGCAGAAGAATCAGAAGAAGGAGAAACTGATGGAGAAGGAGTCTCAAATGAAGAAACAAATGACAGGTTCGAAGAAATCCAAGAAATGGGTGAATCTTCTCCAGAGTTGCTACAACAAACAAGACAAAGGAGAGAGCCAGTTTGGATGCGCGATTATGAAACAGGTGAACACCTATCTGAAGAAGAAATCGAGGAGGGGTTAGCTTTTCACATGTCCAATGATGATCCTGTGAACTTTGAAGAAGCAGCAAAGGAAAAGAAATGGCAGGAGGCTATGAAGCTTGAAATTCAAGCTATTGAAAAAAATCAGACATGGGAGCTTGTGACATTGCCGCATCAAGCAAAGAAGATAGGTGTCAAATGGGTTTTTAAAACGAAACTGAATGAAGAAGGCAAAGTAGAAAAATGTAAAGCAAGACTTGTCGCTAAGGGATATTCGCAGAAAGCTGGAGTAGATTATAATGAAGTTTATGCACCAGTAGCTCGATGGGACACAATCAGAATTCTGGTGGCAGTAGCAGCTCAACGTGGATGGCGCATCTATCAACTTGATGTCAAAAGTGCTTTTCTATACGGTGAATTAAACGAGGAGGTATATGTTGATCAGCCAGAGGGTTTTGTCAAAGAGGGAGAAGAGAACAAGGTTTATCGACTAAGGAAAGCTCTCTACGGTTTGAAACAAGCACCAAGGGCCTGGTTCAGCAAAATCGAGAGTTATTTCAAGGAGGAAGGATTTGAGAAGAGTAATTATGATCACACCTTGTTTTTGAAAAGAATTGGAGGAAAATTGTTGCTGGTATGTCTCTATGTTGATGATTTGATTTACACAGGAGATGATGAGAATATGTGCAAATATTTCAAGTTATCAATGCAACAGAAGTTTGAGATGACAGACTTAGGAAAAATGAAGTTCTTCCTTGGAGTTGAAGTCTGTCAAAACGAAGAAGGAATTCATTTGTGCCAAAAGAAGTACGCTAAGGAAGTATTGGAAAGATTCAATATGTCGAATTGCAATGCCGTAAAGAATCCAATAGTTCCTGGCACTGTCTTATCAAAGTCAGGTAGCAAAAGTGTCGATGCAACATTATACAAACAACTAGTAGGATGCTTAATGTACCTTACGGTAACTCGTCCTGACTTAATGTTTGTGGTTTGCTTGATTTCTCGTTTTATGGCTGATCCTAAAGAAGAACATATGCTGATTGCTAAAAGGGTTTTGAGATATTTAAAAGGCACATTAGATGTTGGAGTCTTTTACAAATGGAGTAAGGATGTAAATCTTTTGGGATACACAGACAGTGATTATGCACGAGATATTGACGACAGGAAGAGTACTTCAGGCTATGTTTTCCTTCTAAATGGAGCAGCAATATGTTGGAGTTCAAGGAAACAGGGAATTGTCACACTATCATCTACAGAAGCTGAATATGTAGCTGCCACTGCAAGTGCATGTCATAGTGTTTGGCTTAAGGGAATTCTGAAGGAGCTAGATGTTCTAAGCAGCGAGTGCATCGATATCATGTGTGACAGTAGTTCAGCAATCAAATTGTCTAAGAATCCAGTTATGCATCGTAGGACAAAACATATTGATGTCAGGTACCATTACTTGCGAAATTTGTCAACAAATGGAACTGTACGGTTAGTGTTTTGCGGAACTGAAGATCAAGTGGCAGACATAATGACTAAACCAATTAAGCTAGATCAATTTGTGAAATTCAGAGGCATGCTTGGTGTTCGAAGACTTGAGTAAACTGATGCTGTTTCAGCATACTTCAGTTTACGGGGAGGAATTTGTTGGAGTTTCTGACTTGGTCTATAACGTTTTAACAAATTAACAGGCTTCTGATTTGATCTTCAACGTTATAGCAAATAAATAGGTAGTAGTTTCGTAGTGGTTTTAAAGTACCTAATTTGTAGGAGTTTAATTCTGTTTTGTTTGTTATCCTTTTTTTGTAAGGCTCTATAAAAGCGAGAGTTATTATTCAATAAAAAGCAATTAGTTCCTTCACTAATCCTATTGTGTCTTCCCAGACTACATCGAATTTGCAGTTTTCTTCAATTCCAAATTTCCCTTCGACTGTGCAATTTCCGGCGTTTGTCCAAATTCCTATATCTACTCAATTTGATTTTGTTTCTCATAATCCTTCCTCTTCTCAGGTTGCTTGGCCTTCGTAATTACTTTCTTCTTCACTTTCTACGTCAGATGATGTTAGGGTTTCAAAGCCTGCAAAAAGGGTTGTGTATAATAACGGGGAACCAAGAATGTACTGGACTGCGGAAGAGACCTTTGAATTTTCAAAACAGTTTCATCAAACTCTGATAGGAAAATGTGCATATGGCAAGCCCTCACTAGGGGTGATAAAGGAGTTCATCATTTCTCGATGGAATCCAAAAGGGGATTTTACAGTGGGGGTTTTAGACCCTAGACACGTTCTCATCAGATTTAGTCTTTACAAGGATTATGTAAAGACATGGCTTAAGGATGCCACCTACATTGAGGGATACCTTTTTCGCTTCTTCAAATGGTTCCTAGAGTTCTTCCCTGGAGTAGAGCCTCTTGTGGTCCCGATATGGGTATCCTTACCTGGACTTCCAACTCACTTATTCAATAGGGAGAGTCTCAGGGATATTTTGAACCCTATAGGTCGCATTTTAGTAATTGATGCTCCTACTTTGAGTTTGTCTGAGACCAGGTGTTGCGAGAGTTTATGTTGAAGTAAACCTTTTGGCCGAAAACCCCAAAAGGTTTTGGCTGGACATGGGAGGCAACAGTGGACACTGGCAGAGAATTGTGTATGAAAAGGACTGTAAGTATTGTCCTATTTGCTTGAAACAGGGGCATGAAGAGAATATGTGCAGAAAAAAGAAGGAGGTTCTTGAGGGAGATGGAGGTGTAGTGGAGAAAGGACCTATTTCTTTGGAGGAAAAGGGAAATGCTCATGAGGAAGGAGCTATTACTAGAGATAAGGAAAACGATTTTGTCCAAGTGGTGCATAAGCATAAGGGGAAAAAAGATTTTAGGCAGAAATCTGTTGGCAATGAGAGGGGAGTTGGGAATAAATTTAGTGTTTTGGCTGTGAATGATGAAAATGTTTTGGAAAGAGGGGATGGTTCTCATGAGGCTCCTTTATCTGTTGAAGAGGTAGGGATCAATAATTCTCAAAATGAGGATCCTATGCTAAAAAGAGGTAGATGGGCTGGAGAGGGAAGAAATTCAAGATGCTTCATTGGGGGTGGAGTTTTTGAATGAAGTTTAGGGTGATGTTTTTAAGGGGTCTGAGGAGAGAGAGTCAGGAGGAATAAATTGTTCTGTTGATGATGAGGTGGGTATGAGGAAAAGAACTGATCCTCTAGACAAGGGCTATCTATCTGATCCGGGTAGCTCTATGCGTAGGAATTTTATTAGAGAGGATTCTAACAAATCAGTGGATGAAGTGGCATTGGATTCTGATGATAATTCACTGGATGTTAATTCTTTGGATTACATAGTGAGGCTAAGGCCGAGAGGTAATTCTTCTTCTCCTCCTCTATGATAAGCTTTATTTCTTGGAATATGAGGGGTGCTGGTAAAGCAGAGAAAAGGAGAAGATTGAAAAAGTTAATTAGATTAAATAATGTGGGTATGGTTGCTATTTTGGAACCTAAAATGAGGAGTAGTAAATTGTCTGGATTTGCAAGATTTTTGGGTTTTTCTAATTTCACTTGTAATCCTCTTGCTGAGTCCAATATGTGGGTGCTATGGGATTACAGATTCCAGATTACTATAGTATCTTAACATGAATAATCTTTTACAGCTGAAGTTTCATATCTAGGATCAGAGGTGGTATATGTTACTATGGTGTATGCATGCTGTGACCATATTTTGAGGAGGCCTTTGTGGCAGTATTTGTTGTCATTACCTATGATTTCTTCCTCTGCTTGGATGGTTGGTGGTGATTTTAATGCTGTTTTGTCTTCAGAGGAGAGATTAGGTGGAGCCTATCCTTCTAATGTTTCTATGGATGAATTCAGAGATTTTGTGCATAGTGCTGGGCTACAATATGTGGATTTTAGTGGAAGCCAATTAACTTGGTGTAATAACAGGCAGGGGCAAGCTAGAATGTGGCAAAGAATAGATAGGTTGTTTTTTAATCCTGCCTAGTGTTTGAGGTTTGTATCTTCTGAAGTTTTGCATCTAGGGAGAGGAGGTTCTGATCATTGTCCTCTATTGTTGAGAGTACAAGAGTTAGTTCAGCCAAGGTTATCCTATTTTAAATTTCAGGATATGTGGGTGGAGGATCCTAGTTTTTTATCCATTGTGGCAAATAGCTGGAAGGGTTGTTTTGATAGCAATCCAATTGAAGATATGTTTTTAAAATTGAAACATTTGAAGATTCAACTTAAGAGCTGGAATAATAATTTTTTTGGAAATATTTTTGAGAAAATAAGGAGATTGGAGGAAAATGTTAGTCACTTTGAAATGTGTAATGAACAGGTGAATTCTGTTGACACTGTACAGGCCTTGGAGACTGCAAAAAAGGAGCTAGATGAGGCTTTGAGATTGGAGGAGATTTTTTGGAGGCACAAAGCAAATGTAAAGTGGGCAGTAGAAGGGGAGAAGAATACAAATTTTTATCATGTTGTGGCCAAGGGAAAAGCTACTAGAAACAAAGTTAGTAAAGTACAGAATGGGGCAGGAGTTTCGGTTAAAACAGAAAAGGAGATTGGGGATGTTGTAGTGGAGTTTTTTTTCTAATCTGTATAAATTAGAAGTGCATTCTTTACAAGAGAATTTATTTTATGTTATTCCTCATTTGGTGGATGAAGAAGTAAACAATATGCTGATTGTTGAGGCATCTGAAGAAGAGATTAAATCAATTGTGTTTTCAATGTCAGTGCATAGTGCTCCTGGAGTGGATGGTTTTTCTGGTGCTTTCTTTCAAGTAGCATGGGATATTATTAAAGTTGATTTAGTAAGGGCAGTGAATTTTTTTCTTAAAAGGGGGGATGTTCCTAGATCTATCAATACTACTCTTTTGATTTTAATCCCAAAAAACCTAGTCCTGAGTCTTTTTCTGACTTTAGGCCAATAAGTCTTTGCAATTTTTTGTATAAATTTTTTACAAAGCTGTTGGCTGTTGTAAGATTGGTTGATGTGCTGCTTAGAGTGATTTCTATGGAGCAGCATGGGTTTGTGAAAGATAGGGGAGTGGGTGATTGTATTGGTTTAGCCCAATTGATGGTGGAGGATCTTGATAGAAAAGTTGAGGCTGGTAATATGATCTTGAAACTGGATATGATGAAAGCCTATGATAGGCTAGAATGGGATTTCCTTCTTAAAACCCTTTCTTGCTTTGGTTTTTTTGATTTATTTGTGAAGATCATTGCTAATTGCTTGAAGAGCAGTTTGTTTCTGTTGGTGTGAATGGCCAGAGGGTTGGTTTTTTTCATATTTCAAGAGGTTTGAGACAAGGGGATCCTATCTCCCCTTGTCTATTCATACTTACTGAAGAGGTGCTCATCAGAGGCTTAAGAAAACTGTTTCTGGAGACCAAGGTGAAGGGTTTTCACTTGGGTAGGGGATCTCCGTTGGTGAGTCATCTATTGTTTGCAGATGACACTTTGGCTTTCTTAAGAGGTTATAAAAATTCTCTTAGGAATTTGATGGCTTTTTTGGGGGATTATGAGCTTTGTTTGGGGCAGAAGGTGAATGTGTTGAAAAGCTCAATGTTATATTCTAAACGTATTTCTTTTAGTAAGTAGTTGGAATTGTTTGCTATTGCTGGTATTTCTTTAAAACTCTGTCCATTCACTTATCTAGGATGTCCTATCTTCAATAGCAGGACCAGAATTATATATTTTGAGGATATTTTAGTTAAGTTCAGGGGAAGACTGGCAGGGTGGTATACTAGAATGCTTTCCAACATGGGTAGGGTTTTGATGGTTCAATTTGTGTTGAGCTCTATCCCTGTGCATATTTTGGCCTGCCTAAACTTACCTAAAGCTATTTTACATAAGTTGAAGGCTATAATGGCTGGATTTATTTGGTCAAATAAGTTGGAGTGTAGGAGGAGACATTGGGTGGCCTGGGATCAGATTGCTATGCCTAAATTTGAAGGTGGATTAGGTCTGAGGAGATTTGAAGACTTGTAGGTGGCTTTTAGATGGAAGCAAGTATGGAATTTAATGCAGGGGGACTTCTTTATGGGCACAATTCTTTTCTGCTAAGTTCTTGAAGGGTAAACACCTGTTAAGATACCTAGACAAGAGACACTCTAAATGTTTTGAGGCTTTGAGGCCTTATTTTGAAAAGATTATAATGCTGTCAAGAGTGCTGATTGGCAAGGGAGATAAAGCTGATTTCTGGTGTGATGTTTGGGTAGGTGATACTCCTCTGTTATTCAGGATTCAGGATTCACCTCAGAGTTTTCCTAAGGTGAACACCTTATTGACTGGTTCTGGATGGAATCTAAATGAGGTGTAGGAGCTGTTAGGTGAGCAGCTGAAGGTGGAAATTTTGAATTCTGGAATTGTTCTATTTGATTTTGATGATAAGATAGTTTGGCAAAAGTCTTCATCTGGAATTTTCTCTGTCAAATGAGCTTGGCAGTTACTTAGGACACGAGGAGAGAGAAATTTAGTTACTGAGGTTATCTGGGGTATGCAGACTGCTCCTAGTGCTCAACTGGTGAGCTGAAAAATTTTGAAGAAAGCTCTTCCTTTGGATTCAAGGGTCAGAATGTGTGGGGTGCCTATGGTTAGTAGATGTAGTCTATGCTATAAGGGAGAGGAGGATATTGAGCATGTGTTTGTAAGCTGTAGCTTTGTTGAGAATATCTGGGGAAGGTTAGCTGTTATGGCTGGATTTCAGCTGGTAGCAGGTGAGTTGCCACTGGTAAGATTGATGAGGATTTGTAGGGTTTTCAAAAGGAGATTTGTTGGATGTGGTCTGGTGAGAACTCTTGCAGCATTGATATATTGGCAGGTGTGGAAAGAAAGATGTAGGAGGAGAGCAGGTGACNAGGATTTGTAGGGTTTTCAAAAGGAGATTTGTTGGATGTGGTCTGGTGAGAACTCTTGCAGCATTGATATATTGGCAGGTGTGGAAAGAAAGATGCAGGAGGAGAGCAGGTGACGGCTGTTTGAATTCCTATAGCATTTTTAGGAGAATATGTTCTCTCTTGAGATATCAAGTAAGGAATATAAAGCCTAAGGTGCTGGATTCTGATAGAGGTAAAGATTTTTTAAGTTTGCTTGGGATTAATATGCATTATGTGGTGAAATTCAAGTCTATTTGGGTTAAATGGGAAAGGCCAGCAACTGGGAGTTTGAAACTCAATGTCGATAGGGCTGCTAAGGGACATCCAGGTGTGGCTAGAGGTGGTGCAGTACTCAGGGATGAGTGGGGTAGTGTTATATTTGCTGCTTCATTTTATTATGGTATTTGTACAAATGTAGGGGCTGAGTTTAAAGCAATGTTGGATGGTCTGATTCTGATAGAGCAATATGGGCTGTCTGAGTTCAGGATTCAGATTGAATCTGATTCCTTGGTCTTGGTGAACAGTATTAAGGGCAAGGTGAGTTGTGCTTGGCTTTGTTGAGTATTCTGGTAGGAATTAAAAGGATACTGGACAGAATGCAGTATTCACTGAAGCATGTCTTTCGTGAGGCTAATTTTGTTGCTGATGGTCTGGCTAATAAGGCTGTTGAGGTTGGATCTTCTCTAGATTTTTCCAGTTTAAATCAACTTCCTGTTGATCTGCGTTTGAAGGTGAGGCGGGATCAAAGGTCCTTGCCTGTTTTGCGAAGACGAACTGTTCTGGTTTATGATGATCATGGATAAATGCTACTTATTTGGTTGGGTTTGAGGGTGTGCAGATTATATACTGGATTTACTTGAACAGGAAAATTTGTATAGGATTTATTCCAAAATTCTCTTTGTAAATGTTGTTTTGGTAGGATTTCCCATACTGTGCTTCTTGTAAAATTTTGATATCATGGAATAAATTTGCTATTTTTTCCAAAAAAAACCAAAAAAAAGAAGAAGATTCGTTTTCTTAACAAATCGAACTAAGTTCGAATTCGACAGATTAGGTTCGAGTTTACAAAATTCAACTCAATTGTCATTCTTGGTCTCTTTTATGCGACAATCAAATTACTCCAATAATTGCTGTTTAAACATACAAGAATGTAAAATGTAAAAATAAAGGGGTATTAATTTTCAAGGAAAAAATATAAAAAGTAAGCAGTTAATGATATTTGTTACTGAATGATGAATTCAGCGGGGGCAAAATGGATGATAAGGGGGAAAAAATAAAAAAAAAATCAGTGGGGGGCAAAATAGAGAATTCTGTTTTTTTTTTTGTGTTTTGGTCAATTTTTACCCTCGAGTTTTTGACATAATTGCACCCACGTCAGAAGATTTGCATCCGCCCTGAGGGTCCAGTGTGACCATTTGAGAAAGCATGTTTGCATGGCGGAAATAGAAAATTAGAAATGAAAAGGAAATGAAATTCAAATGCAGATGAAATGAGAAATGAAATGAAAATGAAACTGATATTCAAATGCAGATGAAATGAGAAATGAAATAAATGAATATGAAAATAAAATTCAAATCCAGATGAAATTAGAAATAAACGTTGAAATTCACTTGAACACGACACCCCACTACTAGTTGGTCAGACTCACTAGAAAACAAAAAAACTCACTTGAAAACGACATTCACTGCTTTTCCAATCCCATCACTGCTTTATAGACTCTTTCTATTTTGGGAAAAAATAATGTCAAATTATACTTTCCGTCCTAAAAGATTTCAATTTTTTTTTTTTTTATTCTCAAAAATTAAAATTTTCACATTGTATCATTATCATCGATGTAATAAAACTGTTATAATATAACTATTCGATTAGTTTTTCTTCAGTATTAATTGATTAACTTTTGACAAAAAAAAATGACAACTAACAAAAAAAATCATATTGTAACACTTTTGATATATTCAAGGTACAAGAAATTTAATGAATTTATAACACTTTTGGTCCATAAGGTATGCATTTTTTTGTCAGTTCAGTCGTTATTATATTAATTTAGTTCCTAAAATATTTAATTTGTGTCAATTTAGTCCCTAAAATATTCAATTCATATCAATTTAGTTCCTACATAGACAAAATATTATTTTTTTTATGATAGTGACCATGTGTCTTTTTTTTTATAAACGATATCACGTGTGTTCAACACGTGATTATTTCGTTAAAAGTTTAACGATTTTTTTATATAGGGACCAAATTAATACGAATTTAATTCTTTAAAGTTTAAATAAATAAAATTAATATAATAAAGACTAAATTGATAAAAAATATATATTTTAAGAATTAAAAATACTATTAACTGCAAATTTACTTTTTGAGTGTATAAAATAGAGATTTTGCAATAAATACAAAGTGGGAAAAGCCCCAAAAAATATAGGGCGTGTTTGGTTAGCTTCTGCAAAATATTTTTTGTTCTCAAAATTTTAAAAATATGAAAAATTTGTTTGTTTAGTATTTTTATTCTCTAAATTTTGTATAAAAAAAAACGAAATTTAAGTCAAAAAAACAGAAACACAAGTATAACTTGTTTTCAGAGTTTTCTTTGGAAATTTTGGAAATAAGGAGAAAAATTTTGGATGTTCAGAGATATATATATATATATATATATATATATATATATATATATATATATATATATCTTATGAAATTATCAATATAAAAATAATTTTTTTATATTTTTTTATTAATGTTTAAATTACTGTCTAAACAGGTTTTACTATTTTTTGTACTGTAAAATTATTTAACTAAATAAATTTTTTATTTAAAAAAAAATCAAAACTATTTTCTTAAAATTTTTTTCAAAATTTTTTTTCGAATACTATTATTTCAAACGCAAACCAAACACAGCAAGGATCCTGCGTTTTTTATATTCTTTCTTCGTCTTCTACTTTAATTTATTTTATCCCGATGCTCCGTCATTATTCTGTCCCAACCCTATCACACCCACCGCACTTTAGCTCTTCAGTTTCCTTCTGTATATGCCACACATTGGGCAGGGTAGAGTATAACAAACAAGAGCTTGGTGCACAAAATGGCAGGGAGCACAACAAAGCCTCATGCTGTTATGGTTCCATGGCCAGCACAAGGCCATGTTAACCCTGTTATGAGACTTGCCAAGCTCTTGCATTCGAGAGGCTTCTATATCACTTTTGTTCACACAGAGTTCAATCTCAGCCGTTTAATCCGATCCAATGGCCCTGATTCCGTGAAGGGTTTCCCTGATTTCAGGTTTGAGACTATACCTGATGGAACACCCCCACCATCAAATCCAGATGCAACACAAGATGTCCCTTTGGTATGTGATTCATTAAGAAAGAATGGTTTGGGTCCTTTGAAAGAGCTCTTGGAGAGGCTTAATAGTAATGCTTCTCCTCCTGATGTGCCTCCTGTTACATGCGTAATTGCTGATGGAGTTATGACCTTTGCTATTAGAGCTGCTGAGGCTTTGGACATTCCTGGGGTTGCATTCTTTACATCTTCTGCGTTCTCCTACATTGCGTATTTGCATTACCCTGAACTCATCGAAAGAGGGATTTTTCCATTCAAAAGTAAGTAACTAGTGCACTAATTCTTTTGCTCTATTGATTGTATCTCATGCATAGGTATGGCAGTGGGCAGGGGCGGAGAGTATTCTTCACTTCCATACCCACTTCAAAAAAATCCGTTAACGAGACAAGTTTTAATCCCTATCCCGTTAACAAGATAGGGTAAATTCTAATTCCCATGCTAAATCTTCACACAGGAAAATCCGAAAATAGATCTATGCAATAAAAAAAAACCCAGACCTATGAAGAAAAACAAGAGATATCTGGGAAAAAAAAATAGATCTATTCTTAAAAAAGCCTAGATCTATGGAAAAACAAAGCCCCTAGATCTAAGCAGAAAAAGGTTGGGTAAGAAGATAGATCAAGCATAACAATTTGAATCGCAAAATTTTAATACACAAAAATATGAAGAAACCAAGGAGATGAAACGGGTGATAAAAGAAAATCATTTGATTCAACAAAAAATTCCAACAAGATCACAAAAACCAAAACCATCAACCATCACATGCCATGCATCCAGAAATCAAAACCCACTCGCAAACCCCTTTAAAAATCACAAAAATCCAGATTTCGGGCTGTATATTGAGTCCAAAGTCCATCTTCTCAATCGTGGGATTATAGGACTCTTGGTCTTCGCTTCTATTTGCAGGCAACATGTGGAATTGTAGGGGTGGAGGGCGGTGGGGATGAAAAAGAATTACGGGCTGTTTCGTAGAAAAATGGAAAGTTATAAGATATGATTTTTTTTATTGTTTTGGTTAAAGGCTGGGGTCCACGTTTATGATCTTGCAGCAAAAAAGTTTATACAGACGAGGGTAATTAAGGTAATTAACTGTCGAATTTTTTATTCATTTTTATTCTTATATCACAATTTTTCTATTCAAAACAACCTGTCACCAAGAGGATAAAATAATAAATTCATCAACTTTTGTACCATGTTCACATTTTTCATCCATCTAATTTTTCACCAAAACAAACAGCCAATTAGAGATAGGGTTCAAATGGAGGATGAGTTTGTTTGGTAATGAGCTTAAGATTGTCCAATAGTTGGATAAGGGCTTTTTAAAATAATAATGGATACAGTGAAAATGTCAAACTAAAATGTAACTGTAATTTACCCTATGTAAATCTAACGGGTTTAGTGGAGTGGAGTGGCGTGGGGTGGGGTGGGGATAAGTTTTAGTCTATACCTGTTCCAAACTGACAAATTTCTTTTTTTTTTGATCAACTGTCGTCGCTTCTGATACCTATATTTTAGAGATCGTTCATACAAAAAAGTTTTAGTTACATGCCGTTTATAAGATAATGAGAAAGCCATCCACAATCATTTCTGATGCCGTGACTTTGAACCAATATTATAGGACCGGAATTACATCTCCGAATCCCTAATTCAATCCAAATTCCATTTAGAGTTGACTTTTTTAGAATTAAATTGCTTAAGATTTATTTGCTTTGGGTTCTATCCAAGGTTCTTGTGTGTTCATTTTCATTTTATTTGGTTATTTTTTTTTTTTTTGGTGGTAAATATCTTGGAACAAATTAATCCGTTTTGCAGATGACGACTATCTTACTAATGGAACTCTTGATACCCCTATTGATTGGGTCACGGGTTTGTCCAATATACGCCAGAGGGACCTTCCAAGCTTTATCCAAACAACCAATCCCAATGACATCATGTTCCATTTTATGAGACTAGAAACAGAGGATTGTCTAAAAGCTCCTGCCATAATTTTCAACAACTTTGAGGAACTTGAGCGTGAAGCCTTACAAGCTGTCGTTTCTAAATTCAATTTTCCAAACATTTATCCAATTGGGCCTCTTTCCTTGCTAGAACAAAAGTATGTCCCTAAAAGCCTATCCGAGTCGCTCAATTCAAGTTTTTGGAAGCAGGACTCAAAAGTTTTCGACTGGCTAGAGAGCAGAGAACCTGAATCTGTTTTGTACGTGAACTATGGATGCGTGGCAGTGATGTCAACCCAGCATTTTCGAGAATTGGCATGGGGGCTTGCAGATAGTAAGCAGTCATTTTTATGGGTTATTAGACCTGATGTCGTGAAAGATGGAGAGGCAGTGTTGTCTGAAGAATTTATGGAGGAGATCAAGGATAGAGGATTGCTTGTGAGCTGGTGTGCACAGGAGAAGGTTCTAGGCCTTCCTGCTGTTGGTGCATTTTTGACACATTGTGGTTGGAACTCTATGACTGAAACTGTGGTTGGTGGTGTGCCTGTGATCTGTTGGCCTTTCTTTGCTGATCAACAAACGAATAGCCGCATTGCCTGCACTAAATTGGCGATGGGGATGGAAATCAATCCCGATGTGAAGCGCGACGAAGTTTCATCGCTGGTTAGGGAAATGATGAGAGGGGAGGAAGGTAAGCAAATGAGGATAAATGCTAAAGAGTGGAAACGCAAGGCAGAAATAGCTACTGATGTTGGGGGGTCAGCTTATACCAACTTTGATAAGCTCATCAAGGAGGTTCTTCTTAGTGAAAATTGAGCTATTAATAAAGGCCAATCGAGACATCGTTTCATGTTATGCATTTTAAACTTTGATAATAATGACATTGTAAACTTTGATATCTTTTCCTGTCATTTTGTCGTAAAATGCTGGTATTGAGTACTGATACAGGCATGTTTGACGTGTGCTATGCGTAGGGACGGTAGTGGACCGAAGAAAACGGGTATTCGTCCAGATATGTTTTAATTTGGACCGGAGATAGACTATACGTAATGGACGGTAGACGTATACGAGAATATCCGTATAAACTTGTACGGAGATGGACTTACCTTACCCCCCGCTACCCGTTATATATATATATATATATATATATATATATATATTTATATTTATATATTCCAAAGCCCTAACTAAATATATTTACTGTAACTATCAATCTAGAAATATGGTAATCAAACTAACAAGTGATATTGCTATGTGATAATCATATTAACTTTTTTTCTTGATTGTTTTTTTTTTCTATTTGTGCTCACTGATTGAAACTGTTAGGAGTTTGGATTGATTATGCTCTAAAAATAGATAAGAGAGAGTAAGATAGTTTTGCATTTCATCGTGGGTAGAAATATTGTGATTGTAGGTTGATGAGTTTCTCTGTTAAAGTGAACTAAGAAATGGGGAGAATTATTGAATTACAAAAATTTTATGTTTTCATCTTTTAACACTTTATGGCTTTAATATAAATTGTAATGACAAAAATTTTTCTAGAAAATTTCAAGTGTAGTGCAATCGTTTTCTTAGTTCAATTTTATTTTATTTTTTTCCTTTTTCTCTAATAGTTTCGTTTTTCTTTTTATTTTCTAATGACACTTTAAATAGAATACTATATTGTTTTGATTTTTATATTTTGCTATCTACATTATGTTGCGATAAATTATGTTACATTGTTTAAAATGTTGTTGTGTTATTTAAAATATTAGATTTATTTAAAATTTTAGATTATGCTATATGGGCTTGAGCTTAGGCTTGAACTTGGGCTTAGGCGGGTACGGGAGAAGCGGGGACGGGGATTAGAAATTTATCCACAGACAGGGATGGAGATAAAAATTATACCCATTAATGGGGATGGACGAAGTTTTCTAAGCTGGTACAAGGATGAAGACTACACTCCCTGTCTTCGCTTCAGTCCACTGACATCCCTAGCTATGTGTGATAATGTTAAAATAAAGATTCTGATTTTTAAATGGCGATTGCCATTCGCGTTTGGAACTGTGGTGGTTTTAGTTTCCTTAATTTATTTTTGGGATATGAATATAAAAAGTACGTAAATTATAATAAAATGAATAAAAAAATAATTGTATATAAATATATAAATAGTGCCTTTGAATGTATAAATAATCATAGTAGACATGGAATCAATGATGAATGGATTCATTTTTAGAAAACTACACATTTTTTTTCTTCTAAATATGAATTTATCCAATAAAAAATAATCAAAGTAAATTTATGGTATCAAAAAATATATATTTTGTTTGGTATAGTGCCACCAAATATTCAAAAAATAATGTTTTTGAGGCATAAAAATTTGCCTTAATTGTGTGATTTTATTATAATTATTAGATTAACATTAAATTCTAATATTCAATGAGAATTATAGTTAATTTAAGGGTTATAATAATTTTTTTTTAATTTAACCTCGATGGAGCAAGGGCCTTTATTCCATATTAAAAATAGTTAGGCTAGGACGAGTACCCTTACCCCATAATTAAATTTTTTTATAATATAAAAAAAAAAAAATTAAAGATTCAAAATATATTTCCCACTTACTTGAGATGCTACAATGCATTTCCTGTAGCTTCGTGCGTGGTGGATCCCTCATGTTCCACTTTTCTTTGTCTATTGATTGATTAAATACTTCGACTTCTGACTTTCTTCCATCTAGAATCAAGTCCATTTCAGAATCTCAGCATGTTTCTGGTTCAACCCCTTTCTGTCCATTGTATGGGATTAAATTCGCACCGGGATATCCTACTCCCATCGAAAGATTCTGAGTGATGGATCTCTTCTTAGGGCAATTCAGTAGCCTTTACCTTTCAGTGTCCATGAGGAGCTCGTTTCACATCGACTGAGAGTCGTCTCCTCCTCTCGCATATAAACCTATGCTTCATATAGAGGAGGTACCCACTAGCCATTGCGAAGGGGAGAGACGACTCTCAGTCGATGTAGGATGAGCTCCTCATGGACACTGAGAGGTGAAGACTATTGGATTACCCTAGGAAGGGGTCCAGGTCAGTCAGAATCCTTCGGTGGGGGGAGGATATCCCGGTGTGGATTTAATCCCTTACAAAAAGGCGCCTTTTGGTGGACATGATACCCTCCCTCCGAAAGGATTCTGGTTGACCTGGACCTCTTCCTAGAGCAATCCAGTAACCTTTACCTCTCACTGCCCATGAGGAGCTCGTCCCATATCGACTGAAAATCATGTCCCCCCCTCGCATATAAGTATGCACTTCATATAGAAGAGGTATCCACTAGGCACTTGATCTAGTGGCTGCAGACTTATATGCGAGGGGGGGAGACGATTCTTAGTCGATGTGGGACGAGCTCCTCATGGGCACTGAGAGGTAAATGTTACTGGATTGCTCTAGAAAGGGATTCAGGTAAGTCAAAATTCTTCGATGGAGAGAGGTGATCCAAACGCGCGATTTAATCCCTTACATCTATCATCCCCAATCATGGTCTCACAAGCCTCTATGGGGTCTTTCATAATTAAAAGTTTGAAAAGGAGAGCACCGGCCTTGGTTCAATTGCTAGCAAAACAGATGTCATATATTGCTCCAAATATTTGGCGTAATTGTTACACCATATTAGTTTTATTGATAGTAACATTACGCTTAGAATTTTTACATCAGCTAATTGGGTAACACTGTTCATGTTATTTTTGTACATAATTCTTGATAATTGTTATATATCCATTACGCTGGGTGATTTTGTATCATGTTACTATATGCTAGTTAGGATATTGATAATATAACGTTATGCTACAGTGTCACCCTATGCTTTGTATCATGTTACTATTGAATTTAAATTGTCAAGAAAATCTTGTGATCTAAATTTCACTTAATATATCAACGATTTATTCGTACATCAAGATTTCATATATAAGTATCAAAATTTTTGCGATCAGAATTTTACATCAACTTAGTAAACATAGTAACATCAACATAGAATTTTTTGCCATCAGAATTTTACTTCTTGCGATTCAAATTTTTGTGATCAGAATTTTATTTCTTGAAGTAATTTAAAATTTTATTCTTCTTTGGCATGAGTTCTAGCTGCTAGTTTGATTTGTATGAATAATTTAAGATTTTTGACTATTGCACGCCTGATACTAATTAGGAAGATGTTAGTGTGATTAGAACCCAAAAAATCAAAATTAGACACTTATTATATATCTTGTGATTGTATACTTGACAATTAGGCACTTATATATATATATATATATATATATCTGGTGCATGTCGTGTTATTGTTATTGAAGTCGTGTTTGTGTTAAGACCCATGAAAAAAAATTATTTAGTGTGTTATGAGTATTAAATATTAATTAAGACTATTTATTATACGTATTTAACAATTATGTCAATTTTATATTTATTTGTGTCAGGTTAGTGTTGGGTTCGTTTTAACGGGTCAGAGTTGACACCCCTAATATAATTGATTAAGTTTCTAGATTCGGTCTCCAAGTTTGGTACAAGCAATTAAGGATTTCAAATTAGAAAAAAGGGCACCGAAAGAATGGTTGCTTCCTTTAACAAACTCATGTTTTGTTGGGTAAGTTTTTTTAAATCTCAGGTAGTGGATTGCATTTAATGTAAATCAAAAGGTGTAGTTGCAGCGTGCCATCTCTCTCTTATATACTTGACAATTAGACACTTGTGATTGTAAATAAAAGAATGATATTTGGACGTAAAAAATTTGATATTATTTGTTAACCTAAAGATATGACTTTATTGAAACCGTTGGATTAACATCAAGTTTTAACGTTTAACAGAGACCATAGTCAATTCAAAGATTATAGTGAATTAGGTCATCAACAAATTAGATCAATAAATTAGATTCTAATAGCACCACTCTTGTAAATATCATGTCTCTTAGTATATACTTGACACTAATTACAACATGAAATTAGAATGTTGTATTTAGAATCGGTCATATTTTGAGCTTTGAGAATATCTTCATTACCAAAAATAAATAATCTACGTATTTAAGGAAAAAAAGTCTACAACTTACTAAATGATTTTTAGTTTTTGCATAAGTTGAATCCAAGTATTGATTAAAAATATATCTTAATTATATTAAGTAAAAATGTGGATCTAATGTAACCTTACCTTAGTGAAGTTCCTCGTCATAAAAAAAAAATCCCAACCCTAGATAGATAGCACCAATCTAGGCATGCATTTTAGTTAGGGAACACATTGCTCAAAACTAAAATGACAAACAAATGTCCACTATTTAGGTCTAAATAGGATTAAAGAAACAAGGCAACAAAAAATTATTTTATTTTGTTCAATTCTTTGGGATGAGTTACTGACAAGGGGATAATATAGGAACAAGTAAATTTAATTTTGTTCTAAATGCATCACAATTAAAATTTGTTTGTTACGTATGACCTGATATTTTAACCGTTTATTCAAAATTTTTATATATTTTTTTACATATTTAAACTTAAAAATAGCAATGTAAAGTTCCATGGTGGTTTGTCTTGCATAATATATTCAATAGGATCTCTCTCTTTCTCTTTCTCTTTCTCTCTCTCTCCCACACACACACACACACACACAAAAGGACTTGGTCAACACATGATATATTTGCCCCTACGATATTCAGGTGACTAGTTGTCTTTTGTGAGTGACTCTTTGTACTTTGCGACATCCAGGTAACCCTTTGTCCATTTGTAATTTTCGCGTTCAATTTTAATTTTTATTTATATTTTGTAAAATTTTAATCGAAAAATCTCTTAATTGATTTTAATTTATGATAAGTTAAATGATTTCGTTTTCGTGGAA